ATAAACTTCCTTCCTCGGTTGTTCTTGCTGAAAGCGTCGACGCATTCAAAAGGAGGCTTGATCTTACTTTGCTTGCTGGTCATACATTTGGAAGACAAAACAATTTATATAATGTATATATGACTTTGAACGATATTCATGATCTGACAACATCTATCTGTAAATAGGGTTTTCAAAGGCTCTGCCTCTCTTCCTTATATATACTGAATTATACTGAGTACTGAATAAATTGTTATGACGCGTGTCTGGTACACGTAATTAGCGATAAATCTGAGCTAGCCTGACTATATTCCCGAACACCTGCACGAGATAACAAGAAATTTCAATCAGCCCCGAGGGAAGTGTATAAACACAAAGAACACCAAGGCAGTTCACTTCCACAAAAAGGCTGCGTGTATTTATTCTGTCCACTTGATGAGAAAGCTTTGGCACAATGGACCAATCAGACAGAACAGGAAGTTGATAATCATGGTGTGCGCGCTCATCGCAGCGGCGTGACACTTGCTCGGGGACCTTTCTCGGAGATGAGTCATCATATGAATCGGGGCATTCCCAAGAATGTATTCATACGCTTTCGTCTAGCATGAACCAATTGTTTAGGTCCCAATAGTATTCTGTGAACGTTCACCTGAGCTGTTCCAACCGCTCTCCACAAGGAACATGGAGAGTTCCGGCCGAAAGATGGGACTGTATAGTCTACACCGAAAAAGGACAGTTTGAAGAAATGCTATCAGAAGATGTTCGGGAGAGAAGATTTTCAACTGAATTTTTTGTCAAAGACGGATTGGTCGTGGAAAATGTGGTCCACGTCAACTGACAGATGACGCTAGTAATGTAACGGAACTGGGGATTGTGGAGTTTGTAGCGCCGGCTACCACCGACGCCACCCCGTAGGCGGCCACGTGATCGCAGATTTTGGTCTGTCTCTGCGACAGCCAATCATATGTGTCGCAGACTACTATTGGCCAAGCAGTTGATCAAGCAGCTGGCGCCTCACTCTCACATGTCGTTTACGTATTCACACCCACATCACGCTAGCAGACAGAGGCGCGCGCAGGCCCGAGCAAACACTTGAATTCAGTTTAATTAAATAAAGGAGATACACGGAGTCTTTAAAAACTCTATTTACAAATACATTCTAGCAAATAATTAACATGGTACAGAGCAGTATGTGTACATAATATGTGTCACTGAACTCTACGAACTATATGGCCATCAAGTCTTCTTTTAAATGTCTCAACTCTTTCATCCTTCAATCTCCCAATGGGAAAAATTGTTGGCCCGCTCTTCACGCTTGGCGTAATTTGTTTTCATGTTGTGTTGAGGACCTCGGAGGTTTGCCAATTCAAAAAATCTGCCATCTAAAGAACACAGTCTACACTTTTAATGAGTCTACGTGGCGTGCCTAAATTCGAAACAGGCTCCATCAGTCGTTGCGCCCAAATTCTATCATACTGACCTCATTCTCCCGATGCGATAAGTGAACCATATGCTTAACAAGCCTGCTTTAATATGAATTAATCCACAAGTCGCCGTAGCGGCCGCCCCGAGGCGGCGGTGGACAACGTAAGTTGTGATGAACTACCATACGTGCATGCAGCAAAGAAAAAGAGCAAATTCAGATCCCGGAAATTTTTTGAAGTTCAACGGAAGAAATTATAGCCCTGTGGTCTTCCTTGGAATTGACCCAAGGCATTCCGTCAACTGAAGCAGATCTCAATTTAATTTTTCATCACCTAAATTGTAGTGACCATTACTGTCTTCCTCAACAGGGAAGAGCAGGCTAGATTTAGCTGCATTCCAAAACGAACGTACACAGCGCGGTGACGAATCACGCGGACAGTTTGACCATCAATGTCCACAATGGGTTGGTGAGCGCACGTGAATTAGCCTACATTTATGGGAGACTTGGGGCACATCTGCCACACTCCCCTCCCTAACCATGACGGAGTCAACACAACCAGAGGTTGGACCGGGCACAGATTGCTGGGCCGGCACGAGCTTGCGCTTAGGCGTGCCATCAAACCCCTGGACTGCACAAAAATGACCAGAGGCCACACAACAAGAAAGGGGGAGGGGTCGGCTCTAATCCCATTGAGAGTGAATGCCATAGAAGCCACATTAAGCTGAAGCCGTTATAACCTGTATCTGTGCTATGAGGGGAGGACCTAGATATCGGATGAGTTAGCAGCCTTTCATGCCACGGGATTTGACGCACCGTGACACACTCAAGTGCATCAGATTGCGGCTTGCAATCCAATCTCGGATTCCTTACGCTTAATTTGCACAACTACATACATATTTCTTAGTAGGAAACGTGTTTTGTCTTACTACTTTGGCACCCACTGTTTCCCACCACAAGGGTACGACACGATCCATCCGCGTATTACATTGCACCCCTCATAGAAAGCTTTAGTGACATGACTGCTGATGGCCTTTGGCAATTATAATTCCTATTTAGTGTTTGTAAGTCGGTATGGATGCTCGGATCCC